TACATTACAGTGTTTTGTTACAAAACAAACACTGTAATGTAATTTAATAAGCCATATTGCAGGTAATGTACTTTACATCCTTCATACCAAACGGCTCCCTAGTGTTTCTTTCACCTTCAAGAAGCCATTTTACCCCTGCCTTTTGCAGCTAGAAACATTCCTCAATTGCCCAAAAGATGATTAAGCTATTCATATGAGAGTTGCATATTTGCTCTATTAACTACCGTCGGCTTTTGTTGGAAGGTAAGCTCACTCTCTTCTGCTGTCCTCAGGTTACTAAAAATGTCTCCAAAAACATCTTTATTCCACCAGTTCAAATGCTTTTTCAACCTCAACTGTTTAATGCCAAAAAGCCATCTTCCCCGTACCGTGCTAAGTTTTTTCACTACTTTTTCTTAAATGGATAAAATTTAAAAAATTACATCTTAATTCAAACAAAATAATAGATAAAAGTCTATAATAAAAAAATTTTAAAATGTTAGATAAAGTACTAAAACGAGCATTTAGCCAACATATTATCCTATATAATTCAGTTCATTTACGAGTGAAATTTCTAATACTATTTTTTTGAAAATCCTATTTCCAGCGCTATATCATAACTATGAACTTTACTTGGTGCTAGTTTATTTTAATGTCATATATTACTAAATTAAAATGACATAGCACTTAAATTTTAAATAAATTTTTATTCTTTTGTTATATTCAATCAAATTTTTATTTTGAATCAAATAGATTTATATAATTGACGTTGATCAATTTTTATTAGTCAAAATATCACTTATTATTTTATTTTAATGTGATATTAACATAACGTTGATATGGATAATGAAAATATCATGTCATCATATTACATTAACATTTCAGGTTACCATTTATTATGACACATTAGTGTATCACATCGATACTATATGATATAAAATAATAAATAACGTTTTCATTAATGATTAATTAATTAATCATAAATTATAAAAATTATTTAATTTAAAATAAAAATATAAAATTTTGATTAAATGTAATATAAAATAAAAAAATTTAAATAATTTTTTAAGTATTATTCCAATTAAAATCTTTGATTTGATCAAAGATTGTACTCAATTAGAATCCAAAAATAAGGAATTATGGTGTTGAAATGGTACAATTTTTAGATCAAATTCTTTTTCACAACCCTTCATAATCTAAACCATCTTCAAAGAAAGCTCTTGAATTTCAAAATATGTCATTAAGCTTTTGTTATCCCATATAAAATCTAGTAAATGAGTTATGTAGGTAATTTGTATTCTATTTACTCAAATCAATCATTAATCTCTTTGTTTAAATCTTCAACTTCTATCATTTTCTTGTACGAAAGAAATCATTGTGTCACGGGGCGATTCTTCAAACCATTCACCGTGCGGCCTTGGATTCGACTCTTATCCCGATACCGAAACTCAAGTTAGCCTTGGTGCTCAGCACCCGCCCAGCAAGCACTCAGCACATCCACACGTAGCACACTGCTTTTCGGTTAGTCGGCACACGCACACAATAGGCCCAAGCCAGCAAGCACACTTGCAGAAAAGGAAAAGGGAGAGAAGAGAGGAGAGTGCTGGAAAAAGAAAAGCTGAGAATGTATTGAATGAATGATTTACACAATCTACAATGGCTTATTTATAGCCAATTTTCCTCCAAAAAAGTTCCCTCTAAAAAAATTCCCTCCAAAAGAATTCCTCTAAAACATTTTTAAGAGGGAAGCTAAAATTCCAGCAGCTCAGGTCATTAAAAAGGCTGGTGTGGTGGGTCAGTTTCATCTTTGGCCTCCTGGTGGGTTTCGGCCGCGCACAGGTTGTGTGCCTGGGCGCTGGCGGGCTGGTGTGCATGAGCCTTGCACAGGCAGTCTGTTTGGGCGCTGTGCGGGCTTGCATGCCCGCACCCCTACTATGCTGGCCGGCGCTCCCCGGGCCTGCGTACCACGCATCCATGCTGTGCGGGTCTACGTGCCATGCACCCCTGCTATGCGGGCCGACTCGCCTGGATCACCTGCGTGCAGTCTGCCTGACTCTATGCGGGTTGGCTCGCCCAGGGGCTTGTGCTGCACACCCCCGCTGGGCACCCTACACCTACGTTCTACTATCCAATGGAGTTTTCTCCCAATAATATTCCCTCATATACCGATACTTCGAAACACCTTCGGGTCACCTCCGATGCGCTGAACTACGATCCGTAACAATTATCCTCGCTTGATCATTTCTTCAATGAGGGTACTCATAGTTGACGTGACTTTGGTTTCTTGCATTCGTTGCATATAATAGGACCATTTCTTCTTCTATGTGGTTCACCCCTGAGCATCTCTTCATCTATTGAAGTCTTCTTGCAATCTGAGTTCCTATAAGTTCTTCAGCAAGGATTCAAAGTTCACGAGAAATTCACAAGCACTAAACCCATATAATAAATTCATAAGTAACCAAATTAAATTCTAAACCCGTAAATCACATGCAAACTTGATCTCAAGCAACCCGCCTGAAACCCATTTAAGAAATTCATCAAAAAATGGGAAAAATCAAAGGCAAAGGCCGAAATCGGTGGTGTATATGACGGTGGGGGTTCAATGTTTTGAAAGGTGATTTCTACTGGATCTTCAGGTGGTGGGAAGTAAAATGTCATTGGAATGTGAGGTGTGAGTCTTTTCTGTGGCAGTCTGGGGTGCAGGATCATATGAAGATCTTTGACAGTCAGATGCTTTTGTGCTTCTTTCCTTTATACTTTTTAATGTTTGGATTCTGTCAGATTACATATCTGGAATTTTGAATCAAAAAGAATTGCACAGCTCAGAGAGAATATGAGATGAAGTGGAGGAGAATTGTTTAAAAGAAAGCAGAGGAGGAGAGAGGAGAAGTAGTGGGTCAAGTTGTTGGTGATTTTAGCAGCGTGACGGCACGGACCCACAACGTGACAAGGGAAGAGGGGCTTTTGGTGAGAAAAGAAGAAAGGAGAGAGAAAAAGGTGAAGAATGTTTGAGAGTTTTCAGTGGCGGAAAAAAAGGAAAGTTCCAAGAGACCGGCGACAAGCGTACAAGGAGAAGGTCGGAGAGGAGTACCAGTCTGGGAGGTGGACGGGTGAGAGAGAGAGAGGAGAAAGAAAGGATTTTTGACTTTTAGGGTCATAATTAGTAACATGTCATTCTTTGTTATCTTTTTCCAGCAAAGCTACCTCACCTCCACCGCAACAGCTGTGAGAATGCAAGTTTTGCCCTCCAATGGTTGATGAAAAACTTGAAACTTCTTTTGCTTACTTTAACATTGTTGCCATGCATTCCACTTAGCATGTAGCTTAATTCCCCTTCTAATCATTGTAGAAAGTGTGTTTAGGATGTAATAATGTTACATTCTCCACCTTTCCCTGCCTATCAAGATAGAGGTAGACCCAACTAGTGTAAGTTTTTTTTTTTTATGGGTAAGAGCCAGTATAGTGAAGGCATTGTATGATAGACTAGAATTGATTTCTCTATTTTAATGTAAGAGTTAATACACCGAAGGTACTATACAATTGGGTAAATCTTACACTAAGAGATGAGATAGGTTTTTGGTATATAAACTTGTTCTTGTATAATTAAGTGGATCCGCATTAAAAGATGAAAGTGAGTTTTTGATATATTAATATCCACTTCCCGTATGTCTTTTACGTTAAACATGTGTCACACTAACAATTGGTTAAGTGCTTAAATTTTAAAAATTAAAAAAATAAAACTTATTTTTATAAAAAATTGTATTGAAATAAACAATGAATGTAAAAATCGAATTACATTAAATCAAAAATCAAATTACTTCGATCTGTAACAAGTCTTTTACAATAGTTTACTAAAATTTTAGATAATATGAATAGATATAAATTTTATCATACTCAAATAAATTCAAAAATAACTAACAACCCTTTTAATATATAGAAATATAAATATCTCAATTTGATTAAAAATGTTTTCAATCTAAAATTGAAGTTGAACATCTCAAAAATCATTTTAACTTGATAAAAAAAATCAAACTCATTTTGATCGGACCAATTTTTTTTTTGGTTCGAACAAAGTCAATTGCATAACTTACCAAAACAAAGTAATGCTTTTTTTTTTATTATTTTCTTTCTTCTTCGTGAATTTAAATTAGAATATGCACCTAAAATTCGTCTTCTAAAAAATAAATTATAAGAAAAGTTTATCAACCCATGAGTGACACGAGCCAATTCATTATGAAATGTTTAAAGTTCAACTAATAAATTATTGCTATGCTTATCTTTATCTACATTTGTTTGCAAGTAAAACATATGGATGCCATTATTAATTAAAAAATTTATAATTATCAACTGTTTGTTCTTTATTACATTGAATGTACCTCTATAATTAATCCGGCATCAATGGGCGGGAATAACGCCGAACCAAGTTTGAAAAAAAAGGCTAATAAAGACAAGCCAAAAATCTGGAAAAAAAAAAAACTAGTAATATTCCAAGTATACCTTTCAATGGACGCCAGCCGCCCCTTTTCATGGCACGTCCCACATGGTCCTACCTTAACATGTCAATTTCAATCATTGGTTAAAGAATAAAGAAATGATAAAAAAGAATCCCATTTGAAAAATGTGCACGTCTTTTAGCTGCTGCCCTTCCCTACATTTCTACTGACATTCCTCCAATCTCTGCCTACCATGTTTGTGCTTGGCAGATGTCATGGATGCTTCTTGTTTGGTATTTTGAGCGTACAATTGAGCAAAAGAAAGAAAGAATTTGATTCCCATCTGAATTATTTTTATTTGGTAATCGATTCATGGTTTAATTTAGTATATTTTGATGTGGATGGGTCTTAGCCTCTGTTGTTGGTAGTAAATGCTTGCTATTAATAATCGAAATTATTTTGATTTTGAAATTCAGATTTATTTATGGATTTCCAATCTGTCGTTTCATTTGGGATTGGGATAAAAAGAGAAAGGAGTAATTTTCTGGTGCTAGGCTTAGCGGAAGGAATTGGCGGGCATAGGCAGTTAGGCTTAGCTGTCGATTAGTATTTTTTGTTGCTTTAATTTTCGAGGTTGGCATTGCGAAGTTGCCATAAATGTGAATGTGAAAAGGGTCATTGCGAGGGTCTAATGTCGTCGTCTAGCTTTCTATATCCATCTCTCTCAGAGCAATGTATGGCGTAAAATTTGGGGGATTGCAGTGTGAGGGGGGGTTGGTGAGTGGTGACTTTTGTATGGGAAGCTCAGCGTTTTTGCATCTTTCTCAAGTAATTTGTTACCCCTTCCTTTCAATTTCTTCACCCTTCTTAACTTAAATGTACTACTAGTGCTAATCATTTACTGTTGACCTTTTATTTTTTTTATAATACAAGTAGTTTTAGGCAATAATTATAATTATGGAATTATATCAGGTTTTGCTTCTTGGAGGGTAGATTGTCTTTGGGAGTGGATTCTAAGCAAAGACTGGTTATAGATTAACAGAAAGAAAACTCCCTCATTTATTGTTCACCCCAACGGTTCAAAAGGAAAGAAAAAAAGAGTATGGATTAAAACGAGAGTTGGATTGTGTTGGGGTTGAAGATGGACAGAAGGAGTTGGCTGTGGAGAAGAAAGTCTACAGAGAAGAGTCCAGGTGAAACTGATAGTTCAGGAGGTTCCATTTCATCTTACTCTGAGAGATTCTCTGATGAGCAGGTATTTAATTTCTTTTACTTACTTGGTTAAATCATCATTGCCCATTCCTTCTGGAAATAAGAATAGAATATGTTTCACTTTGTGGCCTTTACTTTTTGAAAGAATGCTCACTTGTGCTTTAAGTATACATCCATTGCTTGCATTTTGATGGACTTAAATGAAATTTTTTTGGGTCTTCTCTTTTTTGGTTGTAAATGGAATGACACCAATCTAGTTTAACCAAAAATGCCTCAATACGGGTTTCTAGCCTCTCTGGATGGTCCTGTTGGTTGGCTACTTCAAAGAAATTATCATTCCCAGACTCTTATGAAATCAATAGCTGGGTCTGGATATTCTTGCTTAGGCAGTCAGATGCCTCTCCTTTCATCTTTTATATGCTGGCATTTATGGAGCTTACCTTTTGCTAAAAATTTTTTGGATGTTTGCTTTTGTTAAAATAATTTCTTCAATTTTGTTGCTTGGTTCAGTTACTATATAAGGAAAGCTGATATGATTTTATTTACATTGAGTGTCATTTAGTCATAATTTGAACAGAGCAGATGTCCTAAACTTTGCAAAGAAAGATCCTAGCTTGTTTCTAGCTCTGGCCTCTACGTCCTTGTCGTTTGCATATTTGTCGTGCACTCAGCTTGCTCCTTGTGTTTCATTTCCACCTGAATATCACTTGTGAAACATTGAATGATGAGCCCTAAGTTATTGAAGGCTTTGGAAACTCAAGAAGCTGAAATGACTTGGTTTAGGCACTCCAAAATGATTCAGGAATTCTCTATAAAGTTTTTAAAGCCCATTCGAGCACTCCTGAGGCCTGAAGCATCTATTTCTCCTTTCTTAGTAAAAGAAAATTGTGATTGGATCCGTGAAGTCATAAGAACCGCTGATCACCTTTGACAGAGGTGATTAGATTAGATCACTCTGTCAGATACTTGCAAGGCTTAGAAGGCTGTTTTTGGAATTTTCCAAGCCATGATTATTATTTAGTAGTGTTATTTATTACACAAGCATAATGGACCAGAGTTTAGTTTCTTCTGAACTTTATGAAGGAAATGAACAATGGCTGAGGGGCATGTGCTGTGGGTGGGCAGGAAAGTGCTCTCTGGATGATTCAGGCATGTGCTCGTCTGTGGTTGGATTTATCTCATTTTCATCTTTTCTTTTAATTTTTCAATGAATTCAAATGTCTTGGAGGTCATGTACAGTTTATGATAGTTTTTTAATGACCTAGATAGGCTATACAAAAGTTACCTTGATTGCGGTCCTATATTCTTGCCTTACACTAATTTTCTACTCATATGATGTGAGGCATGCTTTTATAGTTTCATACTCCATTTAATTTGTATGCTTGTAAATTGTAAATTTTTTAGTTTCTGTTGGTTTGGTTGGAAACAATCTGATATTTCGTTGTTGTCAAAGGCTGGCGCAACTCATAGTTCTCAATCACTGGAAGTCACATCAAAAGCAGTACCCATAGATGAAGAAGTTAATGATAATGTGAAGTCTCTAACAGAGAAATTATCTGCTGCTCTTATGAACATCAGTGCCAAAGAAGACTTGGTAAAGCAGCATGCTAAAGTTGCAGAAGAAGCAGTGTCAGGTATCTTTTTGGGCATCCAACCTAAGCTAGAAATCTGCTAGTGGATGGTTTTTTTCCCCCTTGAATTTATTAATTTTAGTGAGAAAAAATGACAGTAAGGCCATCACAAGCTTTAAAGATTTTGATATGAATATTATGTAAGTGAATCACGTTCTTGATGATCATTATCTCCCTTCTAGTCAAAGAATAGGGTAATATGTCACTGTACTATTATGTTTTGATTTCTTTATTGGAAAGAATTTCTTTATGTGAGAAAAGAAATTAATTGACTCAATATCAATGGTGTTGCATAAAATGACTATAAATTTAACTTCTGTTTTTATCTATTTATATTTGAAAAGAAGGTTAACCCAATACTAGCATTTTCACCTTCCGTTTCTTTTCAATAACTATGATATTGCTAAGTTGGTTTACGGATGTACAGCAGCAAGGGGGATAAGAAGACGAGAGAGGGGAAGAAAAAAGCAAAGATCACTTTATTCTTTGATACTTTTGAGAGATGAAATACTTATAGAGAAAATAACCTTATCATGCCCATGTTGTGTGGTCAACTAAGGAGGAATAGTTTACTTTTGGTGGCATTTTGTTCTTAGAAGCCTAGGGTTTTTTTTTTTTAGTTATATTTTTTGTCCTGAAGATCTTTTGCAATAGTGAAGTTAATTATCTGCTTTTTCATTTTCCAAAATCTGAAATTAGGCTGGGAGAAGGCTGAAAAGGATGTGTTGGCTTTGAAGCAACAGCTTGATGCTGCTATTAAGAAAAATGCAGCACTTGAAGATCGAGTTGGTCATCTTGATGGGGCACTGAAGGAATGTGTCAGACAACTTAGACAAGCTAGAGAAGAGCAAGAACGGAGAATCCATGAAGCTGTTGCCAAGAAATGTCATGAATGGGAATCTTCAAAGTCTGAACTTGAGAGTCAGCTTGTGGACCTCAAGGCTCAACTTCAAACCACAAAAAGCGAGACTGCTGCCTCAGTTGATCCTGATCTTCATCCAAAGCTCCAGGCTTTTGAGAAAGAGAACTCAGCCCTTAAACTTCAGCTCCTTTCTCGAGCTGAGGAGCTACAACTTAGGATTATTGAGAGGGACCTGAGCACCCAAGCAGCTGAAACTGCCAGCAAACAACATTTGGATAGCATAAAGAAGTTGGCTAAGCTTGAAGCTGAGTGCCGCAAGCTAAAAGTCATCGCTCGGAAAGCATCCCATGCTAATGATCAGAAATCTTACGCTGCCTCCTCAATTTGTGTTGAATCTTTTACTGATAGCCAATCAGATAGTGGGGACAGGCTACTTGCAGTTGAAACTGATATGCGCAAGATGAGTGGGTTGGAGATGAATGAATGTGAGACAAGCCGCTCAGAAGCATGGACATCTGCCCTAATTACAGAACTTGATCAATCTAGGAATGAAAAGGCCGTTGGAAGAAACATAATGGCCCCTTCAGTAGAAATCAATCTCATGGACGATTTTCTTGAAATGGAAAGGCTTGCAGCTTTGCCAGATACAGAAAGTGGAACTGGTTTTAATGAGGCTGGTCTTGTATCTGATCAAACCAGTACAGTTGAAAACCCATTAAAGGCTGAAGTTGAAACCTTTATCCACCGGATTGCTGAACTAGAGGAGAAGCTAGCAATGACAGAAGCAGAAAAGTTGGAATTGAAGTTGGCTTTCAATGAATCTCAAAAGCAGCTTGAAACATTGCAGAATCAACTAAGGGAAACTGAGACAAAGTTGGCAGATCTTCAAACTCAATTAGCTCTTGCTGACAACTCAAAGCAAGCCACAGAGGAGGAAGTAAAAGTTGCAAATATGAATAGAGAAGTGGCAGAGTCAAGATTTAGAGATGCTGAAATTGAAATAAAGACTTTACTGTCCAAAGTTACTTCATTAGAAGAAGAGGTTGGAAGGGAACAAGCATTGTCTGCCAAAAACATGAGCAAATGCAAAGAATTGGAGGATGAACTTTCAAAATTGAAATGTGAAGCCGAGCTCCGACTTGAGGCAGAGTGCCAGCTTGTGGCTAGTTACAATGAAGAGTTGAAGGCGCAGCAGGTCAGTTATTTAGTATGTTTGTTTTAATCATAGATGTTCCTTAGAATGCATCAAAGAGAGAGAAATATATTCTTTTCCAAGGATCAAGACCTTTGTGCAAATTTTAAATCAAATGACAACTTCAGCATCCTATTAATGCAGGATGCTCACAAGCATGCTTTAAATGACTCCGGGATTGTGAGGTTAATGACAATAAGGGCCTTTGCATGTTTTTCCATCAAAATCCTAGTTGAATTTGACTATTTGTCATGTGGGAATGTATATGGTGCCTTAATTTACCAAGCTTTGATGACTCTAGGCTTAATTTCCCATGTGCTTTGATAATCAATTCCTATATGTGCAAAATGCCTTTTTAACTTCTCCCAGAATCATGGACATGCTTATCAAAGGAATATTTTTATTTTTGATTTTTTATGTGGCTAGTCATTTATATTTGATCTGCAACTTTGTCAAAAATATCAAAACTTGATCTTTCCTATAGAATCAGGACAAGTAATTTCAAAATACCAATCAAATATTTTCATTGAAGTTTTTTAAGAACACCCTAGTTATACATATCTTCTAATTATATTAGGTGACTAATGCATTTCTGGGAATTATGAGAAGTGAAGCATTACCCAATGCACAATAACATTACATCGAGTAAATTGCTGTCAGAGTACTGGAGAGTACCAACTTCAACTGATGGTTTTTTGTGTTTGCAAACTGAACTGACATGGCATGTGACATAGGATTGTGACCTGTCATAGTGGACCATAAGGGGTTTGTGAGGAGTACATTTAATATTCCCAGAAAACTTGTTCAAAGACTATCTTCCCTGTATATGATAATTGTTAATTGACATCATCATTTGGCAAGATTTGGGTGTGCATGCAGTAAAGTTAGATTTCTTTTCTTCTACATATAAACTGCCTGTCCTATTAGTTATAATCTTACAAACATGTTATTGGTTATATGCAGGACAAGGAGCTAGCAATTGCTGCCACTAAACTTGCTGAATGCCAGAAGACAATTGCTTCTCTTGGCCAGCAGTTGAAATCCCTTGCTACGCTGGAAGATTTCCTGATTGACTCTGATAAGCCGCTGGAGCTTGGGGATGGAGGATTACAATGTCCCAAAAACGGTGAGGGACAACCGAAACCGGGTTCTACTTATATGGATTTTTCAAAAAGAGGCACTGAATCTTCTAAATTAATTGGTGAGAATGTTAACCGTTCACAGAATGGCAATGCTGTGGGGTCAACATTACCACTAAAACCAGTCACTGCCTCTGACAAAAGTCGAACTGGTTTCGGGAAAGTTGTCCCACGGAGTAGGAGTGGGAAACAGGTCTGAGTATCTGTTGTCAGTCATATTTGTATGTAGACCAAAATCATTAAACTTAAAAAATTTTCCATCAACAGGTGTATCTAAATACATGATTACTCAGGGTGAACAGATTATTATTGAAAGAAAATATAGTATACATAAAATATATAATTATGGCATATTCTTTTCCATGTTTTCACTTGCCCTGCAATTTTGGATTTCATGCTTGATGTTTGACTGGAGTTTTGGCTCTGGTTCTCGCTTGTTGGATTGAGTCTGGGTGACTTGAGGGAGCATAACCTTGGAAACGATTCAAATGTCAGAGCCAGGAGTTCATTGTCTATTTTCATGGAGATCACTGTCTTAATATAAAGGTTTCAAAGTGCAGCAGAAAAGCATTTCAATGGCTGAGAGGGTTATATCTACTGAATTCAAATTTAACATAGATGAAAGGTAATGCAACGTATTGAGCAGCCTCATTAACCTCTCCCCCTAGGCCTTGAATAAGTCCTAACCATGAAAGAAATAGTCTTGATTCTTGAATCTATTCAATTTTAACACTAATATCATTGCAGCAAAATTAGCTATTCAAAAAAACAGACCACAGATTAACGTAATTGCCTTGCTTCGCTCCGTTAACAGTCACTTGTTATGGATTTACAACCACAAACAGGTAATGCGGTTCTATGGTGTAGTGGTTAGCACTCTGGACTTTGAATCCAGCGACCTGGGTTCGACTCCCGGTAGGACCTTTAACCTTGTATCTTCACTGAAGAGCATTGAAAGGGTTGACGATAGATGCACTTAATTTCCCTTTTAGTGTATTGTAACTAAAATTAATTTCCTTATCCTAATGTAGTAAGTTTTCTTCACTCATGATCCGACAAGTGATATAATATTCCAAGTTTGTTTGGTGGGTCTACCAAAATTTCTTGCTTGCTTTCTGTCCGACCCCCATGTCTACCAAATTAAGGTCTGAGGTATGACATAGCTTTCCAGTCATTGCACCATATTATAATATTAATTTAAGACGCATCAGCAAGGTTGGACCTGAACCCTGCCCACCCCATCACCACTCTGTATCAGCTCCTTTTACTATAAGAATTGGATCAAGTTACATCCATAAAACTCAACTAAATTAAAGCTTGTGAAGATCAATTGATGTCCCATAAGAATATATATAGATAATCTGAATCTATTAGTCTGTTTATTATTGATATGAATGACCTGATACACCCTTCCAAGCTGTTCACATATGTTGACATATCCATGGAATGTTAGGTGTAGAAGGTCATTTCATCAAGAGAAGAAGCTATGTTGAAAGCAATAATCTTGGGTGTCTGATTACCATCCGAAGAATTCTGATGGCTCCCAGCCCTGCTCCACTTCTTAAGTAAGTAGATTATAGAAAATCTTTGGCTTTCTGTAGTCTGAAATGCATAAGGCCTGCAGCCAAAATAGTTTTACATATCAGCCCTAATATGTCAGTATAAACAAAAACAACTACATTCAGAAAAGCACAATAGCCTACCTGCATTGCAAATGCTATGTGCATTAACGTGGGTTCTGACCATGGCTTCCCAATAAATTGAAGGCCAATTGGCAAACCTGCTTTGTCATAACCAACCTATCAAGGAGACAAGTAGAGTTCATATCAGTAAAGTTTGTACTGCTTGAATGAAGCTGATAGCCACTAATAAAGAACAACATAAAAATGTAAGGATCAGAAGTAGTAGTAGTAGTAAGTTTGTACAGGAACAGTCACAGCAGGTAGTCCCAAAAAATTTCCTGCTATCTGATATCGAACAAGTGCAGCTGAAACAATGACAAAATGGTCAACTTTCATTATGCAATACCTTCCCTTTACTAACTGTATTGATATTGATAAACCATGAAAATATTTAAACATAAATACATACTGGAAAATTAGTCAAAACTGTAAGCAGGATTAGTGTGTGGATAGCACTATAATGTTAGGCATTTCATACCTCCATTTATGTAGTCAAGTTCACCGGTCTTTAGAGCATCGTCAAATATTGAGTATGCAGTCACGCTGTTTATATATAAAAACAAAGTTCATAAAACTTAAAAGTTGAAGACTAGAAGGTGCTACCTACAATCTTATCTAGAGCCTTGGAGAAATATAGATGCAAGCTGTTGCAGTAAATAAGAATTTACCCTGTTGTTGGAGCAACTATGATATCGGCCTTGGCAAATATGTTGTTATGAATCTGCATTTGACGATTCCTGCATGTGTAGTCAAGCTACATTATCTTAGCAAGTTTGTAGAATGTAACATCATAACCACATAAACCTGTGTGCATCTTCTAATGTGAAGCATGCCTACCAAGGTTTGACCATTAATATAAGTAGACTTTAAAGAATACTTTGTTGACATTCACTTCTTACTTCTTGAAATTGTTTCTATTTTCACAAGTGAATAAACTTTGAGCTATTTCACATGAAGCTTTTGACAAAATAGAAGCTTTTAACAATCATTTATTTTATAAGTGACAAGATACAGAAAATAATAAGTAAAACATTGGCTACCCTGTACCTAATTTTCTGGGCCTTTAAATACTCTTTGCCGTTGAAAGCACCATACACACTAAGTGCTACTCTTGCATCCCATCCTAATTCTGCAAAATCCCTATAATCAACAAGTTTAGACTGTCAGCATCTCAACTTTTAAATCCTGAAGAAAATGTAAATAGGAGGATAATATGGAGGTTAAAGTCTGGAAGATAACTTACAGCTTTTCCAAATGAGAACTCAAGGAAGTGCTGCACTCGGAACCAATCGTCATGTAATGTGCCAGGCGCATTGCTTCTATCTCTGGTATAGTAACCTCTACAGTCTTGTGAATAACATACCTTTGCAGATTAGTGAGCAATCACTGGTGTTTAATTAATAATTCAGTTATATATGCTATTTTGAGATAAAAATAGAATCAATCAACTACCCCATTTGTATTTTGCACCAATGCTGTTTTGTATATCAGAAGGTTTATCATTTGATTAGGCTTTAACAGCAGAGAAGTTGATAGATACGATAGTCTAAATACAAAAAATTATAATATCAAAAGTCAAAACATGGGTAGATTTTAGTTAAAAGAAACATCCATTGCTAATACCTTCCACTTGTAACGCTCACAAAGCAAGTGCAGAGCATTGGAGCAGCAAATTCTGATTTCATCGCTGCAATCATTGAACCACTAATTTCAGCCAATTAGTGGTTCAAAAATAGAATGACAGGTATTAGAAATCTCATTTTTTTAAAGCTAAAATTCATGATGAAACTGGACTTATATTAATTGATCATAATTAGATCACTAACCTCTCCATATCTTGCAAACTTGATGTCTGATATTAGATTTGTCGAGTTCAGCAGTGGAAAATATACTTTGGGCTGGTAGGTTATCCATGAGCCAAAGAAGAAAAAGCAAAAGTTTTCCAAGCTTAGATTGGCTCATAGTAAAAATGCTATGGTTCAGCAGTAAAGAGAAGACATCGCAAGGCCATTATTAGGAACCACCAAAGCAAGGTCATAACTGAAAACAGATACTCTTAAAAGGGAGAATGGTCTGCATTTAGAACAACAACAGATACTCGGAATTTATACGATCTTAAAGAACAGGTACTTACAGGTAAAGTGGTTGGCTGATTTGATGGAAGTTGGCCATTAATAGCTGCATAACTGAAAACAGAAAGCTAATCTGAATCATACCTACAACTAACAAAGTCACCTATGGAAGTCAAGGAAATGTATTGACCAAAAAGAAGGGCAAATAATACTTACACAATAAATGCATCCTCTAAGGTGCCTGCTAGTATTCCAACCATCCCCACTGTCCAGTTCAGAGGAAGAACACTGGAAACATCACATGCATTTTCAGATATTGTCTAGATCTTTCATCTAATGCAACTTACATATGATTATTGTACCTATACAAGTTCTCACCCTGAATGAGGTATGCGCCCAAAAGTTGGTTTGAACCCAACAACACCACAAAGAGATGCAGGCATCCGCACAGACCCTATACAGAACCATAGACAATATATTGGTCCTTCAAACTCATTTACATGGTACAATTTTGAAAAGAATAATCCAGAATAATTTTTCTTTCTTCTTTTTGTAATGTCTGTCTGTCATAGAATTGATGAAGCACACATGTCTCATGCTCAATACTATTACTGGATAACATGAAAAGAATTCCACAAACTTCTTCTATGTTGGAGGTAAAAATAAAGGATATGACTGTAGTTTGGCTCTGAAGGTTAAATCTAGATGTCTACCATCGAGTTTTGGAAATCCAACAGAATCAAAAGAAAAAAGTCAGTGCTGACATTCATTTGCAAAAATAACTGCCTCGGCCACTTTGGAGTACTTTAAAAGGTGGAAGAGTCAAGCTCTATTTTAGTTGTACTTCTGTTATAATACTTACTGTTTATACTTTTACATTTATATGAGCAAAGACTTTGCATTTATTTTGATTTACCAAGCATGAGAATAAACTACTGTGCTAGAATTTTGATCACATAGACCAAAAGAAACAGAAGACTCATGCAATTGTAGTGAAGACAGATTAACTTTTACTATTAATTCAGGAGGCTAGTTGTTGTTTGAGTTGCCAAGGGCATCTCAGATCTCAGTTCTAATGCCAATAAGAAGTCTTCCAAGAATCTACACTAAATGAGTTATTTACAATCCATACATTAATGGACTGCAATACATAACTAGATTTAATACTTCTAAAAGTATTATTCATGCAGTAACTTATGATGAGAATTTTAGTTAATCAAAAAAATAATGGTATCTACATTTCCTTTCTTAAGAAGTTATCCTAATGCTAAATATGATTTAGTCAGAATCATTGTTCTTGATTTTGTCAACAAATTTTGGTGGTTGTTTACTCATGGTGAAGGATGATATACTTACCTCCCCCATCAACACCAAGGGCAACAGGGCATAATCCTGCAGATACTACTGCAGCAGATCCACTAGAAGAACCACCAGTGATTTTGTTTGGGTCATATGGATTTCTAGCAGCCCTGCAGCATTCACAAAATGAACATACAACCATTTTTAACTTTTTGCATGGAAAGGACTTGGACAAGACAATGGAAAGTAGTGTTTAAATTTAGTGAAGTTGGTTGCCTACAAATTAATTGATAAGACTTTATACAGTTAA